CCACTACAATATTGTAAAGTAATTAGCCTCCAACTAATAAAAAAAATAAAAAAAAATTTTACTTGAACATAGAATTTTTTAAAATCTATATTTGGAATCCATGAAAGAAAATGATTGTATACTCTAGAAGTTTCTTGATTTTTCTCCAAAAATGCACAAAACAGAAGGAAAGTTATCAAAAAAAAAAAAAAGGAAAGTTATCTACAACTCATGTCTCTAAAAAGAACGATGACACCAAAGACTTTGTCTGGAGGGCTTTCACAGACATCTGATGACTTTGACTTTGGAAAATAGGGAGAACGTATACGGAGGTATGAGGGATCAACGTGACAAAGAGAATATTGTACAAGGAAAAACGCAGTGAGAATTCTGATAATAATGGCAGCGTTGAATCTTGATTTGCTTCATTATTTGGGCATCCCTAGTATCTCTGGTTCCTGTTTGCCTGCAGATTACAAGGCATGAAGATAAGAGTGCAAGTGAAAAGAGAAATGAGTTTAGAAGCCCATTCCCAATAAGTTCTGGATAGCATCACACTAGTAAAACATTCCACAGCTGACTTGGAAAGAAAAACTTGTGCCTCATTCATCTTGCTGTTACCTTGCTTCACCCTTCTTGCCTCAGACTTGGCTGCCTGAGAAGAGACTCAGGTTGAAAAGTTGTGTGCAGAATCTTTATCAGGAAGTACTCTCAGAAGTGGGCTTCCCAGCTGGCGCAGTGGTAAAGAATCTGCCTTCCAATGCAAGAGTCACAGGAGATGCGGGTTCAATCCCTGGGCTAGGAAGATGCCCTGGAGGAAGAAATGGTGACCCACTCCAGTATTCTTATCTAGATAATGCTCATGGGCAGAGGAGCCTGCTGGGCTACAGCCCACAGGCTCGCAAAGAGTCAGATATGACTGAGCATGCATGCACACTCAGGAGTAGAGTTGGCAGATTAAGCAAATAAAAATATAGGATACCCAGTTAAATGTAAACTTCTGATAAACAACAAATAATTTTTTAGTCCAAGTATATCCCAAATGTGGTATGAGACATTTTTATACTAGAAACTGTTCATTGTTTATCAGAAATTCAAACTCAATGAGGCATCCTGTGCTTTATCTGTCAGCTCTAATTAGGAGATACACCAAGGCTAGTAGACCTGGCAGAGGGAGGCACTAGCCTGCAGTATGGTGGAAACAGAGGCCTTGGTAGGCCCTACAGGGAAGCACTGGAGCTAGGATGGACCTTGAGAATTTCCCAAACTGAGGGGAAAGGCCAGGCTTTTATCCTCCCATTGACTTGTCTAAACGTCCCTCTGGAAGGGAGTATATACTGTAACAGGGGCAATTACCAGTGCAGCTACAAGCCATCAGAACAGATATTTCCAGCAGCTGGGGGATGGATGCATCAGCCCTGACAAGGGATCTGGATGGGGCACCACGGTATCCACCATGTTATTCCAGATACACGTGCCTCTGCCTGGAAGAGTTTGATTAAAACCGCCCTCTTACTTTTCTGCCTCACCATCTACCTGGTAAGCTGTACCTGACTGTTTGAATTTAGTGTTGATTTAGTGACTAATTTATTCTCACTAATGAGATAGAATGAGGTCAGGGCCAGAAAAACCAGAGAGATTCCTCCTCATTCTGTCCCTTTCCAGAAAAGGATAGATAGACATTGTCAGATGTCATCAAGAATACCCCAGGAATCAGAAAAAGATATTTGAGTGTCTTTTAAGACTTGAAATGATTTGATTCTAAATGACCTTGTCACAAAACCTATGAGATGGGGTCAGCACATCTGAGCTAAAGAGCAACACACAATTGTAAAACTATAGTGCCATATAGTAGGATATTATAGCACTATACAATAGTGTATACTTTACCAACACTATTAATATACCATAATACTGTGCATTATAGTACTTTCAGTCCAGTTCAGTTCAGTTGCTCAGTCGTGTCCGACTCTTTGTGACCTCATGAACCACAGCACGCCAGGCCTCCTTGTCTATCACCATCTCCCGGAGTCCACCCAAACCCATGTCCATCGAGTTGGTGATGCCATCCAACCATCTCATCCTCTGTCATCCCCTTCTCCTCTTGCCCTTAATATTTCCCAGCATCAGGGTCTTTTCCAATGAGTCAGCTCTTCGCATCAGGTGGCCAGAGTATTGGAGCTTCAGGTTCAGCATCGGTCCTTCCAATGAACACTCAGGACTGATCTCCTTTAGGATGGACTGGTTGGATCTCCTTGCAGTCCAAGGGACTCTCAAGAGTCTTCTCCAACACCACAGTTCAAAAGCATCANTCAAGAGGCAGGTCAGGTGGTCTGGTATTCCCATCTCTTTCAGAATTTTCCACAGTTTATTGTGATCCACACAGTCAAAGGCTTTGGCATAGTCAATAAAGCAGAAATAGATGTTTTTCTGGAACTCTCTTGCTTTTTCGATGATCCAGCGGATGTTGGCAATTTGATCTCTGGTTCCTCTGACTTTTCTAATTCCAGCTTGAACATCTGGAAGTTCATGATTCACATATTGCTGAAGCCTGGCTTGGAGAATTTTGAGCATTACTTTACTAGCGTGTGAGATGAGTGCAATTGTGCGGTGGTTTGAGCATTCTTTGGCATTTCCTTTTTTTGGGATTGGAATGAAAACTGACCTTTTCCAGTCCTGTGGCCACTGCTGAGTTTTTCAAATTTGCTGGCATATTGAGTGCAGCACTCTTACAGTGTCATCTTTCAGAATTTGAAATAGTACTTTAGAATAACAATATCACACCATTGTAGCATTATAGTAGTATAATATTCTTTGTAGGAAAGAACCATCTTAGCCTTTTCATCTGTATCATATACAATGGATGGAATCATGGATTCTTTTGTTTATTGCTTCATAATAAATTATTCCAAAATTTAACAGTTTAAAACAACACATACACACTTCCCTCACAATTTCTGTGGGTCAAGAGTCCAGGCACAGTTTAACTGAGTCTTCTGCTTCAGTGTCTCTCACAAGGCTACAATCAAGATGTTGGCCAGGATTAAGGTCTCATCTGAGGGCCCTACTGGGGAAGAATATGCTGTCGTACTCATTCATGTACTGCTGACAGGATTTTGTTCCTTGAGGGTTGTTGGACTGAGGGCCTCAGTTTCTTGCCAGCTGTTGACCAGGGGCCACCTTCAGTTCCTTGCCATATGGAGCTTTCCAACATGGCCGCTGGCTTTACCACGTGAACAAGACAAGGCAGAAAAGATTGCCAAAAGAACAGAAATCATAGTCTGTTGTAACTGTTCTAGTTACCCAAGGCTGCCATAGCAAATTACCACACACCGGATAACTTAGAAAACAGAAATGTATTCTCTCACAGTTCTGAAGGCTAGAGGCCCAAAATCAAGGCATTGGCAGGGCTGTACTCACTCTGAAGGTTCTAGGAGAGACCCTCTTCCATGCCTTTCTCTTCATGTCCAGCATTGCCACCAGGCCTTTTCATTCTTTGGATATAGACACATCACTGCAATCCTAAGGATCACTTTTATGCTTACACTGTCACATAATCAAACTAAACTATGATTTATGCTTCATAATTTGAGTTAGTGTTAGATGTTCCTTGGCATAATGTTTTTAAAAAAGAAAATTTTCACTGGTGAAAAGAACCATTAAGAAAATATATCAGGATCAAAATTTACTCATTATAACTAAGATGTATAAAGAAGTAATTTTATTTTCTGTAAAATCTAATATTGCTTTGAAGTCTCCATTCTAGTGGAGTCCTGGTAAGACAACTCAAATTTATCCATTGAATGAACTTGGGCCTTTTTTTTAAAAATAGACTCTTTAGGGTAAACCCAGTCATTTTTGGATTAAATGTTTCTTTCTCTTTCTTGGATGTCATCAGGGAATAGGGAGAGTTTTATGTCAGTAACATTATGTCAACAAACTATATATACTTCCTGAAATCTATCTCACAGAAAAATTTTAAATATGTAGCAAATTCATGTGTATGTGTGTAAGTGGACATGTATATATATATGTGTGTGTGTGTATGTGTATATAGTATATAACATAAATAGTTTATAATAGCTAAGAATTAAAAACAAGCAAAACATTTATCAACAGATAATTGATTGAATAATCTATATGTACATTTATACAATGGAATACTACACATAAACTAAAAGGAATTAGGTAAAAATCATATAAGCTGAAATGAAAAGATGTCAAAGGCTATAACTAACTGATAAAAGCAAGTTGCAGAATAATATTTACAGTATAGTGGCATAAGCATCCTATCTTCAAAAAATATATACATGTGTGTATGCAAATTTATAAAAAAAATCTGAAAAAGATACAGACTCAACAGTGCTTACCTCTCAGGAGGGATGTTGGATTGAGAGGATGGAGGTGTGAAAAGAAACTTTTACTTTTTACTCTGTTTGGAATTTTATAACGTGTACTCATTGGTATAGTGCTAGCATAATTGAATTTATTTTCATTTTGAACATGATTGTGTTTTCTGTGAAAATATGTATTTATAACAACAGTTAATTTGTTAATAATAGGAAAAGCCGCCTGCATTGACAAGTTATGTATCTCACCCGAAGAACTGATTTCTCGCCTGGGCGAATTTGGACAGTTCTGCCCCGTCAGCCTGGCAGAATCATATGAATTAGTTGATTGCTCTTTAAATGATTCCTTGGAATTTGCAGCAGAGTTCAGAGGGCACTATTATAAAATGAGTTCTCTAGAGAAACTGAATGTAAGTTTGTTCTTAACTCCAAGTATTTACCAGGGAAAGAAAATACCTGTCTTAGAATTCATCAGACAGGAAGGGGTGGGCACAGCTGGGAACACCAGAAGCTGGGGACCAGGGACCCCATTTTTGGAAACTGTGATCCTTGGGTTCAATAAGGCAACTCAGAGGCCAGTCCTAAAACTGCATCCCAAGACTTCTGCTTCTGGCACTGACCCTGCTTCAGGGTCAGTGATGGCCCCTCCACCTGGGTCAGCGTAAGAGGTAGGGAGACCCAAGGGCGAGCCCAATCATGGAGGGGATGCTGAGCATCTGAGCTCAGGCCCCAAGTGGACATCCAGGACATTCCATTCAAAGGGTGCAGAAGGGAAGTCAGAGTCAGTAGAAATGACTACCCTGTGCTTTAAACTTTCTTCTGTCACTTTAATCTCCTGGGCACCTTATATTTCTATTTAATGGAACAGAATACAGATTTGTTGTGGTATTCCACTGACCATAATATGGTGACATAAAAAGATTGTATTTGAAAACTAATCAGTTGTCTCTGATCATTTTATTTTCCTCTGAAGAATCTGATTTTTTTTATCACTTTATAAAGAAGACATTACTTTCTTTCTGCTTATTTAAGAGATAATCACAGACTTTTAAAACTGGAAATGACATTAGAGACCATGTACCTGGTCTGCACCCTCCATCTGACAGTGTGATAACTGAAGCTGGAGAAGCTAACTCACCTGCCAAAGTGCACCCCCTAGTTAGTTACACTGCAGGACAGGTAGACAGCAGGGCAGGTGACTGTGCACTCCAGTGTCTGGCACGCAGTAAGAGCTCAACAAATGTTTTTCAGTATAGGTAGATGAGTGAGTGAGTGAAAGTATTAAAAGCAGAGAGACTGTAAGTGACATCACTTGCAGATATTCCTGTAAGGAACTTCCAGTTAGGGAAAGAGTTACTGTCATGCAGAAAGCTCCTCTTAGATGGTTTGCGGGACTGAACATTGCTGCGGAAAATGGGAAGAGCAGCAGGAGAGCCTAGGTGGGTTTTTGTTGGCAAAGTATTCCTGTTTCCAACGGTCATGTTTCTGTCATCTTTTTTTATAGAAATTTTTGGACAATCCAGAATTGTATGTACCTCCATTAGCACCTCATCCACTCCCACCTACCGACATGATCCCCAAGAGGCTGACACTGTCAGAGCTGAAGAGCCGGTTCCCTAAGTGTGCTGAGCTCCAGGGTTATTGTCCAGTGACTTATCAGGATGGCAGACAAAGGCAAGTCCTCACCCTCGTGCCAGTACAGGCTGATAACTCTACTTGGAATAAGTGGTCTTTACGACAATCATAGCATTTTGATCAAAAGGTCACTATTGTTTAACTGGAAAGTATTGTTTTTCTTCCTTGAGCTGCGATGATAGAAAAATAAAATATTTATGACATTTATTTACATAGTTGTCATTGCTGTTGTTCACTTGCTAGGTCATGTCTGATTCTTTGCGACCCCATGGACTGCAGCACACCAGGCTTCCCTGTCCTTCACCATCTCCCTGAATTTGCTCAAGCTCATGTCCACTGAGCCAATCATACCATCTAACCATCTTATCCTCTGTCACCCCCTTCTCCTTTTGCCCTCAGTCTTTCCCAGATGCTTATTATACAGTACATAGTTGTTTTTGTTTGTTTCTTTGTCTTTCAGATACGAAGCCCTAGTACCTGGTAACATTCACTATGCTTTAGAATATCGTGATCGTATATATATCTGTGAGAGCAAAGAAAAACTTCAGAAATTTTTGAGGTGAGACCATTCACTAAGTCAAAAATATTCATTGAATATCTATGTTAAATGCACTATCCTGGGACAGAAAGATATGTGAGTTTACACACACTCATAAACACATACATACATGTACACATATACATACACATAGCTGAAAGGGGCAGCATTTACCTACTGCCACACATGTCTGTTTTTCAGAAGAAGTTGGAAACCAAATTTCTTCTTATGTTTATCTGATTTTTAAACTTTTGTGACTGATTCAGTTTTTTTTTTTTTAGGGGCTTCCCCATGGCTCAGTTGGTAAAGCATCTGCCTGCAATGTGGGAGACCCTGGTTCGATCCCTGGGTCGGGAAGATCCCCTGTAAAAGGAAATGACAACCCACTCCAGTATTCTTGCCTGGAAAATTCCATGGATGGAGGAGCCTGGTAGGTTACAGTCCATGTGGTTGCAAAGAATCGGACATGACTGAGCAACTTCACTTGCACTTCAGTTTTTTTTAAAAATGACAATGTGGATCAAATCATAAAGGAAAGGAGGAAAGTGAAGTTGCTCAGTCGTGTCCAACTTTTTGCAACCCCGTGAACTGTAGCCCTACCAGGCTCCTCCGTCCATGGGATTTTCCAGGCAGGAATACTGGAGTAGGTTGCTATTTCCTTCTCCAGGAGATCTTCCCGACCCAGGGATTGTACCTGTGTCTCCTGCATTGCAGGCAGACGCTTTACTGTCTGAGCCACAGGGAAGTCCATCAAATCATACATGCAGCTAGAATTTGTGCAGTGGTTTGTGACCTCTCATGAAACTGTTTGAGGAAATTTAATAGTAAAAAGAGAGGAGACATTAGTTGCTGAAAAGAATATAGGATTGAAAGAATAGGGTGGTTTTTCTTTTTTATCTTTTTTTCCAATGTGAAAGGTATGAACATATTTAAATGCAGGTACATGGGTGTGATCTAATAAAGGAAATGCCACGAAGGCAGAAGAGAGTTATCTTATATTGCTATTTAAGATTTCTGGAGACAGGGTGGAGTAGGCATCCAAAGAATGTGTGGAGATTGATCTTGGGTGGGAGGTAAGCTCTGCCATGGAGAAAGCAACCTGTGTTTGGTTCTGCTTGTAGTGAGCAGCCCAGGACATTCTATTCTGAAGACTTCTCTTTGTATAGCCTGGCACCTTGTGTTGGGGTGGGGGGAGGTCCCTGAGAGGGTTACTAGTGTGAGGAGAATTGTAGTATAAGATAAAAACAAGGCCAACATAGGAGTTGCTTCCCTTGTGGCTCAGCTGGTAAAGAATCTGCCTGCAATGTGTGAGACCTGGGTTCGATCCCTGAGTTGGGAAGATCCTCTGGAGAAGGGAAAGGTTACCCACTCCAGTATTCTGGCCTGGAGAATTCCATGGACTATAGTCCATGGGGTTGCAAAGAGTCAGACATGACTGAGCGACTTTCACTTTCACTTTTCACGCAGGAGTTACGTGTGGAATTAAAGTATCTTGTCAGTTTAAAATAAAAGTGTGAGGATAAAAGTATATTAAGAAAGTTTCATATAGGTGCTGTGAAAAGCAAGAATATTGAGAAGCGGTGAGCAGGGCTAGGGCCCCAGGTGAAATTGGTGGTCATGAATTTCTAGGAGCCTCAGTCTTCCTGCTTCTGTATCATTTTCTCCACTCAAGAAAAATGAGTAATGAACATTATCTTTTAGTTCCCTCTTGTGTATCTATCTTCCTGTGTAAACACAATCAATACATTTGTGATCATCCATTTAACGGATTTGGTATTCATAGGTCGCCACACAAATACTGGAATCAGAAGCTTCCTTACAAACTTCCCCCGTTGAAGGAACCAATGTATCTCACCAGTCTGCCTTTGCCTGGATATCTGGAACAGGTTCGCTCACATGGGTATCTCTGTTTAGATATTAGAAGACTACAGCTATCTCTTCTTTAAAAACCATTTTTATTTTGGTAACAATGAAATTCAAGGCAGAGTGTCCTGATTTTAAGCTGCAAATCCACTTTAACCTATTTTGGTTTTGAGTAGTTGTGAAAATAAAATGTAAGGAAAGCCCCCATTTCCATAGCTAATTCACAAATAACTGCACTAAAGTGAAGAAAGAGTAGGATGTTCAAAAATTATTTTCATTTGACATGTAGTTTGTTTCTTATTTTGAAATTTCAGCGTCTATAGAACTTTTCCGTAATGTGAAATATGCAAATTCAGTCTCTGAGAGGTTTTTATTCCCCCTTGCTTGAAAGAGTTAAGATGTCACCACAACTGAACCACCAAACCTGTATTTTGCCCAAAGTCTGGATGAAGCTATCTACTCAAGTCACTCTTATTTCCCTAACTATAACACTTTCTAAATATAGTCAGGTGTATCAGTCACCAACCACTATTTAAAAGCCTTTTTTTAAAAAAATCTATAAAACAGATACCCAGGGCACAATTTCATATGTTTCTTACAAATTCTTAACGAGTTTTTTTTTTTCATCTCCCCTAGATGGTTAGCCTTTGATCAAGTTTAATATCAAAGGCAAGAGGACACTCACCTAGAGAAGAGTGTCCTCCTCTTTGCTTGCTCGGGGCCCCAGCATCTTGACGGCAGTGGAAACTGTGGTCTCTGGCGTTCCCGGGTAAGGTGGCCCAGGGTCCTGAGAGTAGGAAACAATTTGGCCAGTTCTGAGCAATGGAAGCAGATAAGGGCCAAGACAACCCCATGTCACCTTCTTTCAACTTTTTTTAAACAGAAAATGTCAAGCATATAAAAATAGAATTGCATAATGAAACTGATGTATCCATCACCTAGCGGGCACTAAGCCAATCTGTAGTTTAAAATTTTTCCTAATCAAATGTATTCTGTGTTTCTTTTCTGTAGGCTAAGTGCTCATTTAACTATCTTTTTAAGCTCCATCCTCAATCCCGAGGAGGCTATTTGAAGCGAAGAATAGCCTCCTTATCTATTTGCCACAAGAAAAGAAAACAGACTCAAATATACACATAATTTGTTCCCTACCTGCAGGGTATTGCAACTGCTCTAATTAAAGCCATGAATGCAGCAGGATGCTTAAAGCCCAAATTCCCCTTCTTAAGTGTACAGAGATCTGCGCTACTTTATATAGCACTTCATCTGAAAGGTATGACTCTTTTTTTTTTTTGCTAGAAATGATATGCTACTCAGAACCAATTTAGCACTAATTGTGATAAATAGGATTGTCAAACTGGGTTGGTCAGTAGCATGCAGTGTGTGTGTGTGTGTGTGTGTGTGTGTGTGTGTGCTGGTAGCAAATATTTTAGCAAAACTGAGTTTCTAGTTTTTAAAGCAGGTACCATGAGTAACATAACCCCTCTCAATAATCCACACCGTACAAGAAGGTGAATAGTGACAATTATGATCTAAAATAGAATAATCCCCAAATCTTATTTGGGATTTAGATATCTTCTCGGTCAAACTGTGCAGCTCAATCACACACATAGTTCTCCTTCTCTTTAATGATGCATTAACCTAACAGAAAACATTCACAGTCCTGTAAAATTTTCTACAGCCTTTAATCCCAATAGTTCTGAATATACAAGAAAAAAATACAAGAAGAAGATGGAGCAGTTTTTGGAGAGATGTGAACTCATTACATACCTGGGTGCCAAGATGACCAAGAAATACAAGGAACCTCAGTTTAGAGCCATTGACTTTGATCATAAATTGCAGACCTTTCTCTCTCTCAGAAATATAGACCCAGTCAATGGTTAGAATGTTTGCATAACTGCACCCAGAATCCTAAGAGTTACCTGAAAGGGATTAAAGGAAATTGAAAATCTGGGCCTCCCTGATGCACTTTTCCTTCCTGAGTGATACGCCTTGGCTTCTAGACTTCCAATGAATTCAGAGCTCTGCCAGCCAGGAAGGAGTACTCTTCTCTAAGCCTAAGTTCTCATATACTTGTAAAGTTTATTGCTCTTTGCCTGAACTTTGATGCTTCAACAAAAGTTATTCCATTGAGAATATTTAGGTAACGTATTTGACTTAATGAATCCTTTGTTCATTTTCCTTTTTAATATTTTTATTAGAGAAGTCCATCTCTGTTAAAGAAACTTAGGCAGTAAATGTTAGAGAGCTTCAAGAAAAGAATTAACATTGCTATAAATAAAATAGAAATATTGGTTACACTTTTAACTTAAAGAGTTGTTTGTAAACTTTGTGAACCTAAAGACACTTTATCACTTTCCCAACAAAATAAATGGATTTAGAGACAACTAAATGGCTTCTGCTTTTCTTTTTCTCAAGTGTTCAAGGAAACACATTTTATACATTATTTTGTAGTTAGAAATCACCGGATACTTGAGGATGAATGTTAGAGTCTTTTTATATGACATTATCAAGACATATATGCTAGAGGAAAATTACTATATTGAATTTGGATGAGATTTTAAAAATAAATTATCAATTTTTTGGCAGGCGTATAACAAATCTGGAATGTGAAATAGCAAGATTGGCTCTTTTAAAAAATAAAAAATACAACCATTATCTTATTTAACCTTAGGTAAATCTCAGTTTCTATGAGTTTTTGTTTCTTAATCTCTAAAATGAATGATTTAACTTTTTTTAAAATCAGCTTTACTAAGGTGAATTGACAAAATTCTATATGTTTAAATTGTCCCACATGATTTTGATATAGGTATACATTGTGAAATATTTACCACAATCAAGTTAATTATTAATAACACATCCATCACCTCACATCATTATTTCAGTGTGTTCCTGTGATTGTTTATGTATATGTATATGTGTGTAATAAGAATAGTTAAGAATCACTCTCTTAGGAAATTTCAAGTATTATTATTACAGTATTATTAATTATATTTACCACATTGAACATTAGATTCTCAGAATTTATTCATCTTATAACTAAAAGTTTGTACCCTTTGATCAATATCTCCCTATGTGTCCCTTCCCTAGACTCCCAGAAACCACCATTCTACTCTCTGCTTCTATGAGTCTTTTTTTTTTTTTTTAGATTCCACATATAAGTAATACCATACAGTATTTGTCTTTCTCTGTCTGACTTTTTCATTTAGCATAATAGCCTTCAGATTCACTCATCTTGTCTTTGATATCTATAATTTCAACATTAATTAAAAACTAGAAGCCTGTTTTAGATTTATTTTATATATTTCATAATAAAACAATTTTTAAACAAAAGCTAAATGCCTATTGTCAAAGTTAGGACAAACCCCAAAAGCCTTTGAACAGTTACTGATACATACCCATAGATGGACTGCAAGTAAATCAAACCAGTCAATCCTAAAGGAAATCAGTTCTGAATATTCATTGGAAGGACTGATGCTGAAGCTAAAGCTCCAATACTTTGGTCTCCTGATGCGAAGAACTGACTCACTGGAAAAGACCCTGATTCTGGAAAAGATTGAGGGCAGGAGAAGGGGACAATGGAGGATGAGATGGTTGGATGGCATCACCGACTCGATGGACATGGCTTTGGGTGGACTCCGAGAGTTGGTGATGGACAGGGAAGCCTGGCGTGCCGCAGTCCATGGGGTCGCAAAGAGTTGGACACGACTGAGCAACTGAACTGACCTAAAGATGAACAGTTTTTCAGGAGACTGGGAGGTATGAGTAGCTACCGAGTTTAACCAGCCACTCACTCTTCTCTTCCTAGTTCGTAATACTTCTAATTAACCGTCTTCCCATAGTGTTCTTACCATGTCCACAGGCCTCCTCAGCCTATGAGTATAAGAAGTTTCCTTTAGCAATTAAATCCAAACTTGATTGCTTCAACTCTCTCACCTTTATAAAAAGCAGTAGTCATGCAAAGTACCCCCCGGGTATCTCAAGAGACAGGAAGTATGCCATAAGTTCCATAGCAAGTCCACACCCACTGGACATCTGCCATCTTCTGGGGATCTTGTTCTCTAACATGTCCTCACTCTGAGAACTGTACCAACCTCTCACAGCTCATACATCATTGTTCTGGAGCTGCTGAGTTCTGCACAGAAGTGGGGTAAATGCTCCCTCTCTCCTAATGAGGGAGACGCATAATCCCTGAGCTGAGCAAGGGACCAAATACCATGTGATTCTCCCCTCCTCCCTCTCTGCACAGTCTCTTCTTCTGAGTAAATCTATTTAATAAAGTGCATCAGATAGGAGCATTGGGTAGGGAATGGGGAATCAAATTTCCAGAGTAGCTTATAGCTCTGGACATTCTGGGTCCCTAATGCTCGAATGTAAATTACAGTTCATGATGTGTAGGACCCTATTTAGAATAACCACAAACAGGGCTACCATTCCAGGCTGTTGTCTGCTACTGGCTTTACATACATTATCTCATTAAGTTCTTACACATGAGAAGAGTTTCTTACCCAAGATCACTCAAGTAATAGAATCCAGCTTCAGACCCTGATCAGACTAACTCCAGAGCCTTGTTCCTCCTTTACCACCTCCTCCATTAAGTCCATCTTGGAAACCACAATAATGGTGTCAGTATTCCTAGGGCATTTAATTGGTCAGAATCTTTTTGGGCACTCCCACATGCACATGCATGTGTGTATGTGTGTGTGTATATATACTTTAGAATATAAAAATATTATAGAAGACTCACGAAAAAATTTTCCTTTGCGCCTGAGACTCCCTAGCCCTAACCCCTGCATGCACTCATACCCTCCCTGTAATGGTTGCAAGCTGTGTTTTCTTTAGCAAGTTAGGTCAAGAGGTCTGTGTGCCGAGGAAGGGAGAATGCCATTTCTGCAATGAGAAAGGAGAACATGCATCATTTTAACCTGTTATGAATCTTCTTTTTGTTTAGAAATTATGCTTGCATATTATTATAAATGATCCATCAACTGATGGATGATGAAAGAATATTCTGACTGGGTGTCCAGGGACTCTGAATTTTTTCCCAAAGTGAAGCAGTAAGAGAGTGAGCAGTCCCAGGAGCTCACTGGGACTCATTACCCCAATCCTCAAGTCTGCCGCCTGACCACATCAGGAAGAGGCTGAGGCAACGCCCATCCAAGGGACCTGGAGACCGCTCAACTAGTCTGCGCCCCTACACAGCTTGTCTGGGTATCATTTTCTTTCTTTATTTTTGGTTTGTGCCAGGTCTTTTGTTGCTGTATGTGGGCTTTCTCTAGTTGCTGCAAGCTGGGGCTGCTCTTTATTGCTGTGCACAGGCTTCTCCTTGTGATGACTTCTCTCGTTGCAGAGCACGGGCTCTAAGCACATGGGCTTCAGTAGTTGTGGCTCGTGGGCTCTAGGGTGGTGGCTCAGTAGCTGTGGCACACAGGCTTTGCTCCGGCATATGGAATCTTCCCTGGCCAGGGATTGAACCCATGTCCTCTGTATTGGCAGGTGGGTTCTTATCCACTGGACCTCCAGGGAAGCCTCCAGATGCCAATTTCACTATGATGAGAAGAATGCATAATTTCACCCAGGGAGAAGAGGTAGTGCCCATTTAACAGACCCTAAGACAAAAAGTAATACAATTACAGTCAATGAAATATGGAAAAGTAGGCAAAGGATTTTTGTACCTTTTCTCCATTTAACACTCAGAGACATCAAGTGAATATACTATATTTGACCACTCCTATTCCTGGACCATGTACTGTTTTACTGTATTTTTAAAAGCTGTGATGAACTTTTTTCCACCATATTTGGGATTATTAGCTTAAAAAAGTTTCTAAGAAACAAAAGTACAGGGTGAAAGGGAATGAATTTAAAAAACTAAAAATATAATGCTAAATGACAGTAAAGAAGTAATAAAAGTGGGAGGGAGGATCGGGATGGGGAATACATGTAAATCCATGGCTGATTCATGTCAGTGTATGACAAAAACCACTACAATATTGTGAAGTAATTAGCCTCCTACTAATAAAAATAAATGGAAAAAAAAAGGAGTAATAAAAGTGATGCTCTTGGAAACACTCCTGGAAACATTGTGAATTGTTATTTGGAAGGCAGCTTTAGTATAGAAATTGTGACCCATAATAATAAATGGGCAGAAAGCAGAACCTTGTTACTTTAACTTGAATTAACACTGATATTGAACATTATTATATACGTTGGTCACCAGTTGTACTTTATTTTTTCATGCCTTTTGCACTTTAACTCATTGGTTGTTTTTCAATTCTTTTGTAAGAATTCTTTATGTAAAATACACACCAATCCTTGTATCTGCAGTAAATAAGTCTGATTTTTAAGGTATGAAAGTAAGTGCTGTTCATCTATATCTTATGATATTGAATCCTTTTCTAAGCTCTGGAAGTTATTCCATCTTCAGAGATTAAATAAATATTCTATTATGTTTTCTTCTACTATTGGTGTATGTGTTTATATTTAATTCTCTAAGCTGCCTAGAATTCATTTCTGGATATGTTATGAGCTGTTGTTTCAAATTCTTCAAAACTCATAGTAGTAAATATTATGAGTCTTTAAAAAATATTTTAAGTTTTATATATTTCATTTTATTCTCAGTGCATTTATTGAAAGTTTTCATAAATTCATTGGTAAAGGAGAAGTTCAAGAACAGGGAGAGAATGAGATATATTTTATATATGTATGCCTCAGTCTCATTGTGGGTGATTTTCTGTTTTATCTTTTTGGTTTGTTTTGCTTTTACAAATGAAAGTCTGAGTAAAGGTTTATCTACAAAGCCTGAGGGCTCTTAACTATGAATGGTTCTGGAATAATTCTTAGAAGGGCAACATCTGAATTAAATGGACCTTTCAAAATTGAGATTAAAAAAAAAAATTGAGATCCTAACCAAGAGTCAGGGATTTCCCTCTGTGGTTCAGTGGCTAAAAATCTGCCTGCCAATGCAGGGGACACAGGTTCAATCCCTAGTGTGGGAAGATTCTGGAGCAAAGTGCTGGAGCAAAGCCTGTGTGCCACAACTACTGAGCCTGTGCTCTAGAGCCCATGGTCTGCAACAAGATAAGCCACCAGAACAAAGAGAGAAGAGTTTGCAACTGCAAACTCTCTGCAACTAGAGAAAGCCTGAGTACAGCAATGAAGACCCAGCACAGCCAAATAAATAAATAAAATTTAAAAAGAAGCTAGTATGAAAAGACTACATACCATGTGATTCCAGCTATATATTCTGAAAAAGGCAAAACTCTGGAGATAGTAAAAAGATTACTAGTTGGACTCCACAAACCCTGGGGTTTAGAGGCAATTCAGGACAAAGAGGGAAACTTCAAAGAAGGAGCTAATTTTAATAAAAACTAGTAAAAAAAAAAAATGT